ATCTTCATTCTGACTTGACTCACACATTAAGAATTTATTGCTGTGTTGAATTTACCATTTTAAACTATTATTCAAATATATTTACTCACTATATTTTTCCTCAACACTAACTCAATGTTAATAAATTAATGATGTAATAGAAAGAACTTTTTTATTATTATTTCTTGGTTTGTCAGAAATGACCAAAAAAGGAAAAAATTTAAAAATATTTGACAAGTAAATAGGGGCAACATTATTTATGTATATTGTTTTGTTTTCTTCCTATTTTTTTTTTTTTACTTGACTCACATATTGAGAAAATAATGATTAGCATAGTGAATTTATCATTTTAAATTATTATCTAAATATACTAACTCATTATGTTTTACAAAGACACTAATTCAATGTTAATAAATTGATGATAAAATAATAAAAAAAAGAATCAACCTTTTTTTATTGGTCAAAAAAACGATAAATAAAAAAGAAAATAAAATTAAAAAATATTTGACAAGTAAATAGGGAAAAAAACATTATCTATTACATCATTTTGTTTTCTTCCTATTTTATCATCATTTTGATTTGACTCACATCTTAAGAAAATATGATTGCCTTGTTGACTTTACCATTTTAAACTATTATTCAAATATATTTACTTACTATAATTTTTTAAGATACTAACTCAATGTTAATAAAATAAAAAAAAAATTATACCTTTTTTGATTTGTCAAAAAATAACAAATAAAAAGAAAAATAAAATTTAAAAATATTTGACAAGTAAATAGAGTCAACATTATTTATATACATCATTTAGTTTTCTTCCTATTTTATCATATTTTGACTTGACTTACATATTAAGAAAATAATAATGATCTGATATAGCAAATTTATCTTTTTTAAATTACACCTTTTTTGATTTGTCAAAAAATGACAAAGAAAAAGAAAAATAAAATTTAAAAATATTTGACAAGTAAATAGAGTCAACATTATTTATATACATCATTTAGTTTTCTTCCTATTTTATCATATTTTGACTTGACTTACATATTAAGAAAATAATAATGATCTGATATAGCAAATTTATCTTTTTTAAACTACACCTTTTTTGATTTGTCAAAAAATGACAAAGAAAAAGAAAAATAAAATTTAAAAATATTTAACAAGTAAATAGAGTCAACATTATTTATATACATCATTTTGTTTTCTTCCTATTTTATCATTGTTTTGATTTGACTCACATATTAAGAAAATAATAATGATTTTTTAAAACTATTGTCTAAATGTATTTATTCACTATATTTTTCAAAGACACTTAGTCAATATTAATAAATTAACAATATAAAATAATTGTCGTAAGTCAAAAACTAAAAATAAAAAGGCAAATAAAATTAAAAAAATATTTGACAAATAAACGGAGACGGATAAACCTTATTTATTACATCATTTTGTTTTTTTCCTTGAGAAGAAGTGTTTACAAGTTAAATGAGTCAGTTTGTTTTTGTGTATAGAGAGAGCGTTTTTCATTTTTTCAGAAAAATTGAGTTAGGTGAGGAGAAGGAAGGAAGACGAAGAGAGAAAAATGTCGAGCTCTGTGGAGATGAATGAAGTTGTTTCCATTGAGCTTCCAGCTCCAAATGGCTGGTTGAAAAGGGTATGTTTTTTTTTTCTCTTCTTTCTGTTCTGTTTTTTTCATTTTTATTGTTATTGTTTCAGTTTTTTTTTTTGGTTAATTTTTCTGTTGTTTTCTGTGTTTGGCATTGAAATTTGATGATTTTATGAAAAGGGTTTTGTGGGTTTGTTCTAATTTGTTGTTTTTTCTTCAGGTTGGAATTTTTTAAATTATAGTTTTATGTTATTTTAGGTGTTAAAGCATCAAATTCCCCTTTGTTCTGAAAAGGGTTTTGATTAAGTTTGTGTGGTTATGTAGCCTGTTGTGTTTTTTGAGTGTTCATGTGATAGTTTTGTTGATGAGAAGGATTGTTAACTGGGTTGTCTGGTCTTGTTAAATGTAGATTTTTGTGCTGCAATTGTTGTGAATTTAGGAAATGGGGATATCTTTGTTTAGAGATTTTCCTACTTCTGGAAGATTGAGTTAGGATGGAGTATGAGAAGTTTTGATTGTCACTAACTTCATGATTCAGCTGAATTCACAGAAGTTTTTGGGGGTTGTGTGTTGTTTAGGGATGGCAAATGGGGGCAAACCTGCATAAACCCGCAAAGAATTCGACCCGCCCCACCTAGCAAAATTTGTTTTTTTCTCAACACGCCTCCACCTAGCAAAATTTGTTGTTATTCAAACCGCCTCGCCTAGCTAAAGTTGCTGTTTTTCAACATATCTTGCGTAGCAAAATTTGTTGTTTTTCAACTCGTCTAGCCTGTCCTAATTTGTTGTTTTTCAACTCGCCTCACCTAGGAAAATTTGTTGTTTTTCAACCCACCCCACATGAATTGTTTTCTCCTACTTTCTTCATAACAATGTTTATTACAGTCTAGACTTATGTTCAAAACACAAATGTTTTGATCTAAAATAGACCCAAATTGTAAAAAATAAAGTATTTTTTTTCTCATATCAGAAATGCTATGAAGAAGTCAGCCTCTGTATACTTTTCATTTCTTTTCTTTTCCTTTTGTGGATAGTAAAATTGGATAAAGAAAATCATTTAAACAAAATGTTAATGCAAAATGAATCCAGACCCCTTGCATTGTTTGGTGCCACAAAAATCCAAACTTGCACTAGCAGATCCAGGTTAAGTTTAACACTTCAACTAGCAGATAATTTGGACAGACTTATGTAGAACTGGATCATTAAATAAATGCAAAACTCATTTTTCAAGTTTTTTTTTAATAATAAAACAGTTGTAATTAGGATTTAAAGACAATCCAAAAAGAGATTGTATAAGCATCCGATTCAAGAGGTTGAGTACAAGATTCATGGTGTAATCAAACTTAAAACTTATGAAAGGAAGAAAGCTGAATCCCATCCGCCCCGCAAGCCACAAAAATATCTTTTTTCTTAAACTTAACCACCCACACAACTCCAAACATGTTCGTCCCTGCAAAGGGTCAAACCCGCACCACTCTGCCCCACTGCCACTCCTGATTGTTTTGTCTGTTATAAGTAAAGATTTCCTTTTTAAAATTGTAAAGAGAGTGCTATTTAGCGTTAACGGTATATAAGACTACTAGACAGCTCAAGCTTAAAAACTCTAACTTGCCTACCAGTTGACCACCATAACCAATGAAGACAGTCCCTAACCAAAGGGGACTGAATCAACTGGTAGACAAGTTAGAGTGTTAAAGCTTGAGTTGTCTAGTAGTCCTACATATCTTTTTACAAGTTGGGGTAGGGGGCTTCCCTGTGAGGGGGGGGGGGATAAAGTGGTATTAAGAGAAATAACCTAGCCTTTTAAACCAAAAATTGGAAGTGAAAAAACTTCAGTCCTGACTTATTAATTGGCTTTGAAAATCATGGCTTCAGGGAAGTGAAGTTTCTTAAGAGTGGAATCTAAAGAACTACCTGTCTGACGGTTTCAAGATGTACCAGAAATGATCCTTTTGTAATTTAAGTTTGTATTTAAGTACTCAATCTGCAACTTTTCTTGATGGAGGATAATGTGCTGGTTCTTTCTATTTTTCAGATCCTGCAATTTAATTAAAGTTGAGACTTTGTTTACAAAAAGGACTTCTCAAGTCCTTTTATTAGTATCTAAAAAGATGAATAAGCTAATTCACATATCAAAATAGACTCTAACTGTTATGATTCTAATTAAAGGAAACAGGACCGCCTGATTCACTTTCAGAAGTTCTGTCTTTTATACGAAACTGTCAACTTGTACTTGGATAGGCTCAAGCTTATTGAAACTTGCTTTTGGTTGAGTTTAAGCTTTGGACATGAATATTAAACCAAAATGCTCCAAAGCTAATTGTCTTATTGCATCTAATTATAATAACATATTTCCTTCTCGTCAAACGGCGGATAGCTTTTTGGTAAGGACCGTTCACCTCCAACCATAATGATTGGTGGTTTGAGTCAGCACGGTAGCAAAAGTGGGAAAGGATCATGTTGGGCAGCTTGGTTTAGGGGTCTGGGAGGTGAGTTAACCATGAAAAACTATATGTATTTTCATGGTTTACTAAGTTAGTAGATTCATTGCGGGTACTTATCCAATACGTGTGTGGAAGTATCAGATAGGAGTATGTCAAACTTTTTGCTATAAGTTTAGCATATGTTGAAGAAAGTTTTGAGTCCCTTGCTTCGTCTCTATTTTGTGGGATCTCATTGTTAAAGGATTCTCCACATTCACCTCTGCCGTCACCCTCCTCCATCAAGAATTTATGCACATTTAGTTGTGCTCCAGAACTAGGCTCAAAAACTCTTGAGGCAATTGGAGCTAAATTAAAGCTTGCTACTTGTTAGATTTTGTGCAGGATGGCCAACTTAATGATACATGAACTTGGATGTTCTTCGATCGAATATATGTTTAAATTTTGGCACTTTTTAAGTGTGTCATCAGATATCATAATGAGGTACCAATACAAATGTTGCATCCCTTTTTGACACTTTCTGTAAAGAGGCAAGATGAGAAGTCCATGGAACACTGGTTCAGCTTGGCTCAATTAGGACTAGTTTCACCATATGGGGTCGTATGGTTTGTGAACAAGTTATATAGGGTTTATCATGTGGGATTAATGCCGCTTCAGGATTTTCTCAACTGGCAAAAATTGAGGGACTTGTGTCTTAGGTCACAAGTTTCAGCTTTATGCCAAGTGAACTTGATGTCGCTATTGGCTTTGGGCCAGCACTGTTGCTGCTTGTAGTTCAGCATTCGATATCGTCAAGACTCCTACAAAAATTGCAGCCAGACGCTGAAAGAAAATTCCCGTACTCTGATTCTTTCGGCTACTCCATGAAAATATTTAAGGCAGGAGGACTTCTCGAACTCTACAATGGATTTCCTGCACATTGGATTCAGTTCTCCCTTGTGTGATGATGACTCTAATTTTCCTTAAACAAATTCAGGAGGTGGAGACGAAAATTGGAACGGTCAACAGCCGCATCCACTCCAGTTTAGTCTCTATATTTTGAGCAGTCGCCTTATTGTCGTGGTGTTGTTTTCTTAGTTTATGTAAATTCATGCCTTCGAAGTGGCTAGGTACACTTCAAGATTTTTTTTCCGGAAAAACCCTACTTCATTGTGAATATTCTTTTAAGGTTGTACTTTATGTACTATTCATGTTGCAGTAGATATTTGGAGCTACATCAATTTGGTATGTCTTTCTCTTTCTTGAGCTCAAACTAGTTACTAAGACCTTTGTTTTGTGAGTACCTCTCATTCTCCTCCACCCCACACACACGTGCAAAAAGAAAGAAAAGAGAAGAAGGAACTAAGAAGTCTGATGAAAGCAACTTTCTTTAAGGCTTGTGGACAATGATTAACACACAAATCCTGGAAAAAGCTGGATTGACAACCTTGAAAACCAAGGATTGAATCTTAAACGTTGGTGAAGGTACCAAGTACATATGCAGTTAGGAGGTTGCAAGTACATGATAGGTTCTCACTTGGATCCTTTCTTTTAGGACAACTGTGGTGTCGGGGCTAGCTTGATGCACCTCGACTAATTCCACGGGATACCTGACACCTCCCATCAACAACTGGTATAAGGTAACTATCTACCAAGACTAGGACAATTCGGGAAAAAATCACCTAGTTTGTTGTCTATATTAGGTTTCAACCTCAGAACTCATTGTTCTCCATTCACTTCATTGACCACTGCCACATTATTGGGTGCTCCCTAGACTCTTTTGGTAGCACACACATAAGATCAGTGTTATTATAGGTTAAATGCAAATAAAAGAGAGTTTATTCGAGGTTTTAAGCGATAACACAAATAAAGAACGAATTTAACGAAGAACGATGAATGAAGAAAAAATAAATATGCTAAGCGATTGAAATTTTAAGTCACGGACTTGATTTCCTGTTAGTGGACTTGAAGCTCAAACTTCGTATCAATGCACCAACAGGTGATAAGTCGTCCACTGCAAGAAAGGGAATATCATGACTTGTTACTGCATTAATACCTATTCAAAGTTTAAGCTTTGAAGTCCATAAACCTCATTCGAGTGAAATGGGATACATCCATGCTTCTCAACTTTCATGATTGGAGAATCATGATTTGGGATAGCTCTCTACCCTTTATGGTCATAGAATTATCTCTTGAAGACCTCCCATTTGTCACCTATCTTGCAATTATCACTGTTAGTCCCATTTTCTATAATAATGCAGTGTATCAAGAAAATATCTTTTTAAATAATGTTTTGTATCCATGCATTTCGTCACATTTTATTTTCTTCCTATTACCAACCTCCTATTTTACTAGATTTGTAAATCCACCCATAGCATCTTGATATTCTTCCATAAAGCTACATATTGAGATGAATTAGTCTTGGCTTTTCGTGTCATACTTAGCTTTGATAACCAACAACAACATACCCTGTGTAACCCCACAAGTGAAGTATGGGGAAGGTAAGATGTACGCAGAGAAGGGTTACAAGAATTAAAAAAAATAACAACAACATATCTAGATAAAAAATAAAATGAAGCAACATATTGTAGAAGCACATAGAAGAATAAGAAACTACATGATTGCTAATTACTACTACTATAATAAGGAGAAGAGGATATTGAGCAAGGCCCCTGCCTCCCCCAGTCCTTTTGGAGCTAGCATAGCTGATGATATGGTATAGCCCTTCTCTAGCCTAGTCTAGGGACCACACTCATCTACGTACTAATCTTCTACTTTAATCCTCATCCTTCTTGCCTTCCTATTTAGGATTTTGTCGGTAGGCGATTGAAGTTGTGTCATGTCTTGTCTAATTACCTCTTCTGGGTTCTTTTTCGGTCTACCTCTACCTCTCCTTACTCTTGCTACAACGAACTTCTCACACCTTCCAATGGGCGCATCCGCGTACCTCTTATTCACATGCTTGAACTATCTCAGGCTTTCTTTTCTATAAATCAAGTTCCTATTAAATTTTGTTGCAACTTAAAACCATAAACGATTATCATGTCCAATAAATCATGTTTTCTTTCAGCTAATATGCTACTAAAGAAACTTCTTCAACTACACAACTTTTGGAGACCACAATATTCCTCTTTTACCTCAAAAGATTTATAGGTCATCAACCTACAAAATGTTGGATGTTGGCACATTGTTTCCTATGTCCCTAATTTGATTATGATGGAATACTTGACACAAGTGATGCAACATTTAATTCATTAAATCTACCTATCAACAAAATCGAAAGTATTGTTCGACAAAATTTAGTAAAACCAACATTCACTACCGAAAAGGAAAGACCACGCAACACGGTTAACACCTTTTTGGTCTAATTTTCACATAACACGTGTCACCAATGGTTTACGCATTAAAAATTTAAAGAAATCAGAACTTCACCTTATTTATTAATTATATTTTCCTATTTCTTTGTAGTATTTGTAGTATACAACTTATCTATTGATTATGTTTCCTATTTCTTTGTAGCTGTAATTAGCAATAAGGAGGTTATTCCTCCATTCACATTTTAGTAGTAGTACGAAGTTATTTCCTTGTTATTAGGTGGGCCGTGGGTGGTTAATCTACTAATGTGCATTTAAAGTTATTTGAATTCAATGAAAAGATAAGCAAAAAATTGTTCTAGTTTTTGAGTACTTTAACTCAAGAGATTGCAGGTTCAAATGAACACCATAGGTCGTATTAAAGGAAACATTTGATTTCATCTTGTAGTGTCCCATAACTAGGTCCATATTAGGGGACCGTAACAAGTTGGTATTAGAAACGGGAGTTGTGGGAAATCTGATACAAAAATAACTATGCCAACTGTTGACTTTATTCTGAGAAGAACGTGACCAATTTAGCAAGACAATAAGCTATAAATGCTCGCTTTGATGCACTTCAACATAAAATGGTAGTCAGAACCGAGGTTGAAAAGGTAAAGCAGTGGCTACGGGATCAGGGTAAAAACTAGTGAGAATTCCATGATTCCTAAATATACAAAGTTGAATTTTCCACGATCTTGTGGATATGAGGACTCCTTGGGATGGTTGAACATGTGCGAGCATTACTTTCAACACAGGCAAACACCAAAAAAAGGAAAAAAAGGGTCTTGCTTCTTTCGGAAGGAATTGCACAACTCTAGTTTCTTCAACTAGTGAAAGATATGCCTCAATGATATTGGGATGAGTTCAAATGTCAATATTCATTTTGGACCGCCAATCAAAAGTCAAAAGTTGGAAGAATTGGCCAAGTTACGTCAAATTAGATATGTCCAAGAAAGGTTTGAACAATTGGTTTCGTGGGGTAGTACCCTTATACAAGCACAGAAAAGGGTCTTGCTTCCTTTCATTTGGTGGAAATTGCACAACTCTAGTTTCTTCAACTAGTAAAAGATATGCCTCAACTTTTGACTTCTAATTTGACGTTCATTTTGGACCGCCAATTAGAAGTCAAAAGTTAGAAGAATTGGCCAAGTTATGTCACATTGGATCTGTCCAAGAGGTTTGAACAATTGGTTTCGTGGGTTAGTACCCTTGTACAAGCACAAAATAGATGGAATTTTGCATAAATGGTCTTGCTGATTACATGAGGTCAACTAGTTCTTAGATTGATTGAACTCAACATAGTTAGAGATTAAAGGACATAGCCTTTCTTATTATTGCTTGGGTGGAATCAGTTGACAAAAAACTCGAACGTAATTGACTTCTTTCTAATTTAAATAAAGAAAGAGTTGATTTGGAGAAGAACTTGATCCTCTCCTAGCAGTGAAGTGTCATATCCTAGAGTGAGGGCTTTACCGGTCGTTAAGATAGAGTTGGTGCCGGTAGTTGTTCTTGCAAAATTGAGGGAGAGTTGCATAATCCTCCAGATTTGGCTATAGCGGTGAATATTTCCCGACTTTATGAATGCAAGGAACAACCTCTTTGTTTGCAATCATTAGATGCTTGTAGAACAAAGACAACAAATTTCTCACCTCAACAACCACCAGATTTGAAAAACTAACCAAATTTAAAATGGAGGAAAGGTGACTTAAGGGACTCTATTTCAACTGTGACGAATTATTCACTCTGAGCCATAAGTGAAAGGAATTATTTTTGATTGGTTCCATTGATGATGGGGAAGAATTTGCTGGAAAAGAAAGAAATTCTAGTACTTCCCACATTTTGCTCGAGGACAAGTGCAATTTGAAGGAGGGTAGTAATGTTAGAACCCTTTTAGTCTGCTACCAGTTTACGCATGGAAACTTTAAAGAAATCAGAAAGTAGATTACTTAAGCTTATCTATTAATTATGTTTTCCTATTTCTTTGTAGCAGTTATAAGCAGTAATAGGAGGTTATTCCTCCTCTTTATAATTTCAATAATAGTGCGAAGTTATTTCCTTGCTATCAAGTGGGTGGATAATCTACCATTATGTTATTTAAAGTAATTTGAATTTCAGTGAAAAGATAAGCAGAAAATTATTCCAGTTTTTGAGTACTTTAACTCGAGAGATTGCAGGTTCTCTCTTAACGAACCAACAACATAGGTTGTATCATGCAGTGCCCCATAACTTAGATCCATATTAGGGGACCATAACAACCCACATTGTTCTGACTCCGTATTGGTCTATCTTTCTTCCATTGAACAAGGCATCTGTGATTTCCCTTCTTTGCATGGAGGCATTTCTCACATTCATTGTCAGAATCTGAGACTCTGATATTGTATTAACTGTTCCGTTCTTTCATTCAATACTTTAGCTTCTATCTTGCCCATTAATGATGATAGCATCACTTATTTCTGTATATCTATTGTTCAACCCATTTATTTTACATTTTTTATGAGAATCTTATTTGTCTGTGTGGGTAGCATCCTCTTGTTGCTTTCTTTGAATATGATTTTACAGATACTAAAATGATGCAGTTGTAGGGTGATGTTGTTATTCATTTACTTGTTTATTAAAATATCTTACTAACTAGATTCGGTTAAATGTCAGTTCTACTTGGGTTGTGGCACAAAATAAGTCTTTCCTCCTAATAATAGTTACGAGTTTCCCTATCCGCAAAAAGATTTACTTGTTTTAATGCTTATTTCACTCCTCATCTATTTACATGGAAGGCATTATGACCAGCAGTTTTGACAGGGTTGTCTCATTTGTAAAGCTTGTGTTCATTGTAGTACCAAGTTATTGCTTTGGTTTGCACCCAAGTGTTTAATAAAGTTGGTGCAAACCTTAGAGACAGATGTTAAATCCCAGTTGAGACATAAATTACTAACAGATTTCATCACGTTTGCCTATCCTATGCTTTGATGGGCAGAGTTACCGATGGAATAGCCGAGCTACGCAGTAGCTGACTCAGACACTGCCATTTCAAAGAAAGAAAACAAAATTATTGGTTTTACACTTTCTTAACTGTTTCTTCTGTGTTGTCATTTTATATGCATAGACAAAAATGTGTTATTGATTTCAGGGTGCTTTTGGCTTGGTTGCTATTTCTTTGTTAAATGTATACTACTTGTATATCTATAGTGTGCGCTAGTAGTCTGCTAAATTACTTTGTTTGGGGATTAAGTTGATAAATAAGATTTGAAACTCCTGAGAACCCCATTTGATCAGGAAGAGCTACTCATGTGAAACAGTTGCACTCTGACTCATTTATTTACTGAGCTGTAGTGGGATTGTGCATATTCCAAATTCTGTACTAAAAACAGTCGGAACATGGTGGATATTAGCTGAGCCATAAGTTATATATTATTTGCTTATCAAGAATTCATCATTATCTTCTCCTGATGTTGTTAAGTAGTTTTCTTTCCTTGGGAGCTTTGCCTATTGATTTCCTTTTCCATCTCTCAAGTAGTTCCATGTCTTTCTTAGTTTTTGGTTTTTATTTCTTTTCAATGTGTACTCTCCATTTTAGCAGCCAGCCCAATAAAAGACTAGGAATATAAAAGGAGAATGATGGAGATATTTCAATAACTAATGTCCATTTTTTCTGTTTTTGTACATCAGTTTCTGCCTAAGAAAGGAGGGACGCCAAAGAAAAATGAGATCGTGTTTACTGCACCAACAGGGGAGGAGATTACTACAAAGAAACAGTTGCAGCAGTACCTGAAGTCTCACCCTGGTGGTCCTGCAATCACTGAGTTTGACTGGGGAAGTGGGGAAGCTCCAAGAAGATCCACAAGGATCACTGGAAAGGCAAAGACAGCTCCACTTGCAGCAGAAAGTGTGACTCCAACAAAGCGAAACAGAAAATCTTCAGCTTCTAAGAAGGACGTGAAAGACAAAAAAGAACAGGAAGAAACTGAGGCAGCAAAGGATGTTGACATGCCAGAAGCTGACAAACAGGAAAAGGATGGTGTGTCTGTGGAAGCTGAAAAACATGAAAAGGATGCTGTGGCTGTGGAAGCTGGAAAACATGAAAAGGATGCTGCGGCTGTGGAAGCTGAAAAGGTGGTCGTACAGAAACATGACGAGGGAAAAGATGAAAACAAGGAAGAAATGCCTTCTACTGATGTCGGTATTGTGAAGGAGAACCAAGCTAAACAGACAAGTCAAGGCCAAACTGAAGATGGTCCTTCCAAAGATGATGCTGTTGAGAAGGATGTTCAAATGGCTGATCATGCTGCTGAGAAGGACTCCAAAATGGCTGATCATACTGCTGAGCAGGATGTCCAAATGGCTGATCATGCAGCTGAGAAGAAAGATGAAATGCATTCTTCTGCTGTTGATGTTGTGGAAAAGAACCAAGCTGAAAAAATGGGTGAAGGCCAAAAGGCAGGAGATGGTCCTTCTAAAGAGGCTGAGGTTGAGAAAGATGACAAAATGTCAGACTGTGTTGCAGAGAAGAAAGATAAAACTTCTGATGTTGATGCTGTGAAAAGTGATGACCCAACTGAAGATGGAAAAGCAGAAGATGCTCCTGCTGATGTGTCTGCGGCTGACAAAAATGTTGGAGATGCTTTCATGGTGAAAGAGGTGCCAATTGGGAAAGCAGCGGATGAAGCTGAAGCAACTGATAACGGTGTCAACACCGATGAGATTAACCCTTGAATAGTGACATGGAGCCATTCTCTGCTACCCTCGTACCCTGCTCTCTTATTCTCTCTAACCTCTTACCCTTGTTACTTTTCTCTAGTGACTGTAGTGTTGTTGTCAATGGTAGTACTCTCAGACTGTTCATGAGATATCTGTATGTAATATTGTAGATATAGGTCGTTACTTGCAGCCTGGTCCTCTGAAAGAACTTATAGCTGAAAGAAATATCTGTAAACCTTACACCATAGATTTAGACCTTCAGTTGGACAGAACTTGTAACTTGCTGAGATCCATGTAGCATGTTGTGACTGAACTCAGTAACGTAAGTTGTAATAAGTCCTTATTAAGTTAATGTCGAGTCTTAACTATCCAAGTCTCCTTGTTTCTTTAAAATTGCAGGTTTATGCTAGTATGAGCTTGTGGTGGCCTGTGGAGTTGATCTATATTTGATAGCTTCTCAGGTAGTATTTCGCGGTTCCCTTCTTTGCAAAGGTGGGGAGATGCCAGTTTTTATTTTCTGGTTGTGTTTCCTCTTGTTTACCCTGTTTTGTCAGTTAATACCCCGTTTTGTCAGTTAAAAGAGTAATGCATATCAGTACGGGTTACTCTGTTGCAGCAATGACAGAAACTTCAAGTGTGAGTTCATCATCTTGGAATTGTAGTAAAAATCTGCAGATATTGCAGACTTGAGCTGAGGGTAGACCACTCTGAAGTTCTTTTTCTTTGATTCCAATGACCGATATGTCTCTCTATCTTTACAATGTAGGGGCAAGGCTGCGTACAAACCACCCTCCCTTAAACCCCACTTGTGAGATTACACGAGACATGTTATTGCTGCTGCAGAATCTGCAGTAACGATTCTTTCATCTTTTACCAACATTAAGTAATGACAGAAAAAAGTTGAATTTGCCATGCTTCAAAGTCCCTTTAGCTGTGTTCGACTTCTCGAATGCACCTAATTGATGCTACAATGCTTGTTTTTGAATCTTCGATACCGTAATTTGTGATCGCACCCCTCTCTACACTTTATCCTATCATTTTAAAAATAATGTGCATCATAATCCACTTCTAATATAGGCATTAAACCTTATACCATCATCTTAAAATAATTTGCATCATAATCTCCTTAGTCAAACATACACTATGTGCAGATAAAGTTCACATTGTAAGCTTAAAAATAGAAAAGTTGTTTATAAGATGTTGGATACATCTAATAATATTAAGTCTCTTCGAGAAAATCACATCATTGTTAAAAGTATTTGTGAATTATTCTAGCGTAATAATAACTGATATAAGAGTCAATGAATGTATTAACATATTATTATCTGGACTTTCAGATTTCACAAGAAGTTTAATACTTCTATCGACCTTTAAAATTGATTAAATAATCATTTTCCAATTCTAAGGCAATTCTGTCATTGATGTATGATCACATGTTACAGAAGTATCAAGGCAATGCTAAACATCAGAACTAATAAAATACAGTTCATGAGAAAAAATTTGTTTTGTTCAAATCAAATATGCAGTGAAGGACAAAGAAAAGGCAGGATATTGTACAAGCATATGATATCACAAAAATCAAAACCGTTCAAAAGGGAATGGACTTAACAATGATTCTTCAAGTTCACGAAAACCTTGATAAACAGCTTCAGTTTGATTTTGTGGAAGAGGTAATCTTCGCACTTCTGTCATATATCTGGTTAAACCGAGAAAACAAAACGACGGATTTAGATATGTAATGATAAAACTGGTGACCGTAAAGCATTTATATAGCAAACCAGCCAGATTGGTAGAACCATAACATGAAAGAAGATAACACAAGAGTTGAAAAGCCTATCTAGATACTGCTGAAATGAGTGAAAAGACATATATTAGTAATCTCTGATGGGAAACTAACCGATTTGCTGCACTTGTTATTTTATCGCGAACACCTTGATTACCAACTGCAGTCTGTCCTAATGATAAAGTTCCACCAAGAATCAGAGAGGCTCCAGTAACACTTGTACCCATTCCCTGTGCAAAGACAGAAAGTGCCCATTCACGAAGTAAAGCCAGTACGGAGCGCAGGAGACGCAATCTAAGATTCGGAGTTGGCAACACTGCCCCACTTGATAACAGCTGGTCATAAGTATTTAATACAGGCTCTACTGCACCCTTGCAAGCAGCTAAAAGAGCCCTAGGAATATCTTCATCTCCAACAGATTCAGCACCAGAAACCACTTGTTCCTTCACAGTATTAAAGGATGCAATCATGTTTAAATTTCAAAATGAAGCATTGAATTAGTTGAAAGCACATGCAAGGGAACTAGCAGAATGAAAATGGGCAGGGGCAGCTCGAAAGGGGTAATAGCCCATACCAGTGCAGCCTTTTCAAGGTGAAGACAGAGAGTATCAAATGGTAAAACAGTTCCATCTCCGGGATACACATGGGTACCAACCCTCTTCAGTACAGCACAAGCTTCAGCAATCCCACCCCTCATAAGAGCTTGATCAATGAGCCTAGCCCACGTCTCTCGCAGTATGCTGCTATCAGCATCACCGGAGTAGCTAGCGAAGTACAACATCTCCAGGCATATCTGTAAGTCAGAAACATGAAAAAGATACTTGGTTCAGTTGCCTGAAATTGGAGAGCTTAAAATGATGACAAAATTGATCAATCTCTTAATCTTCGATAGATGAAAGTAATTCAAAATTACCAATTTCCATTAGCTGGTGATTTTACCTTTCTATTCGATTCTTTTGGGAGGCTAGTCAACTATATTCAAACTATAGAGATATTTTTGCACATTAAGCAATATGCCCTAGCCGATCACTGCCAATGGTGTATGAAAGATGGTGTTAAAATCACACATTAGTGTAGGATAAGGGGGTTTGCCTCCTTAGTGCTGAGTTAGGCTCAAGATCCACTTCTTTTCCTTGGCATCAGAACAGACCCATCCTAATTCCTGGGTTACCCAATGTTGGGTCCTATTATTATATTGTCCACGCTCCAGATGTCTAGTGCTAAGCATACTAGGCGGTGTTAGAGCCCCACATCAATGTGGAAAAGAGTTGTTTGCCTCCTTATGTAGTCGTCAGCAAATACTCATCCAATGAGCTAGCCTTTGGGGTTATGTTAGGCGCAATATCCATTTCTTTATAGATAAGATGTAAAATTAAGAATGGCATTGACAAATCCTTGGCAAGAAAAAGAGTGAAGGGGAGGGGATAAGTGGAAATTGCTGAAAAACTTTGGGAAGCATTCACAAGCTGAAATGTCACCCATTTACAAACTGTGATGTTCAGATATAAGCTTTGAGCTGCCCTCTGGCACTGCTGCACAGAGACCCCATCCAGTTGCTCTTCTTTTTTATTTTGTTTTTAAATCGAAGAAGCCCATATAGTTGCACAGTGACTCTTATAAACAGGGAATTTGGTATTGAAAAGTTAAGTATAACAGCAGAGGCATATTCTATTGCTCTAATTAGTTTATAATCCAGAAGTCACATCTATGGTCTCACTTGTTATGCAATTCGAGAATAAAATCACTTTTTAAAATACTCCCATGAAGAATAGACCTCTTTACGATCTAGAGTTATCTACCAGAGCATCCATGATAAAAAGAAGGGAAAAAAAGTACAGCTTATCTGAAAAAAAACCAAAATAATCAAATTCACTTTATTTGAAAATTTTGAAGTAGGTTGAATAAAGTGAAACAATTTTCTGGAAAAAGTGAAATTTCATGGTCAAACGGGTTTAAATTTTTTTTAAAAAAAGATCATGCAAAAAGTAGAGCAAAAACAAATAAATAAAGTAGAGCACATGGTGACAAATGTGTGTTTATTGTGTATCATACCTCCCATATCTCAAAAGGAACAGCATAGTCATTATACAACTGTGTAATGCTCTTCAATTCCATTGATAGCTCCTTCGCTTTTTCTCGAAGAATATTACTCATATTGGGTGATGTTTCACCAGAACCAGATTCAGATGTGCTTGTAGATGACTCTAACCTGGAAGACATAGCCTCCAGTTCATCTTTAATTTTAATTTGAAACTGAAGAACAGCAAGCTTTCCTTCGAGCAAATCAAGCAGCCCATTGTCAAGAGCACCCCGCGCAGAACCACTCATACCATCAGTGTCATGGGCACTCTTTGCTTGCAAAACAGCATTACTCAAGTATTGCCGCCTGCCATTACCCAAATTAGACAGCAAACACTGGTCTCACAACAAATTTCTATTAAACACAAAAAAGTATTTCCTTCATTCAAACATGGATAACATTCTTTCTATCTACAATACATCCAAAAGAATAAGGTACCATTTCACTAACAATGTGATTTTATACAACTTTCAAGCCTTCCACAACAATTATGCTCCAATCCAAGCACGTAGGGGTCAGCTATATGAATCCTCACTATTCATGTTGCTCTAATTACATTTTACTAACATATTTAGACTTTCTATTCAAATTCTACTGTGATATTTTATTTATGAAACAAACTTTCAACAACTAGATATTTTATTTCACTACTACCAAGAAAGCACAACCAAATAGAGTGATACAAAATGGGACAGAAGAAAACAAAATGAGATCTGTTCTGAGTAACATAAACAGCTAAACAATGACAGATTAAGAAGCCCTCTTAGAGGAACAGCAAGTCGGGCTTTCTGAACCAGACCAAAGAGAAAAGGATACTACTTTCTCTCTTTCTATATCTCTATGTTTGAAAAAATTAGTAGCGCTCCACTCTCAATAAATCCAAAAATACTTTGTCACAAAGCGGTAACAGCACCTACATTTCTGAGAAAGCTATTAATTTAATGAGCAGTTGTTTTATCTTTCCTCTAAAATTTCGCATTTGCCACAACAGGGAACTGCCATGGCAGATAAACCAAGACATTCTTAGGGCCCTCATCAAATGTTAAAATGAATGTGAATATTACGTTGAGAATTCAGATCGCAGAATTGAAGTGCTTGAACTTACAACACAGCTTATAAGTATGCAGTAGTACAAAATTTGGAACACCAACTTAAACATCTCAAACTCCTTGCCCAGTCAAATGCAACAAATAATTAATGGATAGATGGAGCACTTAACCAGTTTCAAAAAAAAAAATATGGATAGATGGAGTACTAAATAAGATAAGAACTGCTTCACATATAAGAACTAGTGGTTTGTGACAAATATGCTTTAGTCAAACTACCTTTATTGTAAATTTAGTGAAAGAAAAAAAATACTCTACATAGTTTGCAATACAAATTCATCAACTCTAGTTTAAAGGTGTATCTCCCCCAAATTTCTATCATAAAGGAATAAATGAAACATTCATGCAAGATTGTGAATGGATAAGAAAAATTCACACCAATTATGCTCAATCCTGAAAAATAG